TAGGAGGTGACCTCCCCCCAAAAACTGCAGAAATGACTATATTGTATTAAAATAATTAATTTAAGTTAAATTTAGGATGCACTAGTCCAGCTGTTTCAGTTTATATACATATATCAAGGCTGCACAAAACTTTTCCCCAAAATGAAAATCTATCTGAGGGCTGCAGCCAAATGTAATAATATAATTCATGAAATACAAATACTTCTTAAGTACTGTCCTTTTATTTTAATGATTATGTCCTGCTGCAGTGTGACATGATTTGTCTGTGTACAAACTAATACAGTATCAGAGTTTTATATATTTATACTTCTCATTCAACCACAGTTAAATTCACTCTATATTGGAGGAACAGTTTATATGGATAGTATTTATTTTTTACAATAACAAGCTGGAATTAAAACAAGCAAAAATTAAATAAAAGTAATGACTTTCTACTTCTTGTCTTTATTTAAAAATGTAAGAAGTAAAAGTAAAAAGAAGGCTGAAAAATAATTACTCAAGTAAAGCACAAATACCCAAAAATTGTACTTAATTACAGTAACAAAGTATTTGTACTTAGTTACTTTACAACTCTGCAGGTGATGTAGCCTCACAGAAAGGCCCAGGCTGGGAGGCGAACCTGTGACCTTCTCGCTGCTCTAATTTCTGCTCTGTTCAGCAAATTAATGCACTTTAATGAAATTAGCATTAATCCCTGGATGAACGTCTGCATTAATCACTGAAGTTCATTCAAGTCGTCCACCACAGCTGAACCGTGGTTTTTATTAAGAAATAAAAACTTCCCGTCTTTTTTGAGGCTGTGCTCATGAAGTGCCAGCAGGGAGCAGCAAATAGTAAAAGATTTTACATCTCTAAAGGGGCTCGTTGTGATTTTAAAGGTTAAAAAATATATCAGCGGGATTAGCCTCTAATATTCTATTTTTTTTATGGTCAAGTTTATTATGGCTAGATAACAAAAAATCTCCTGTTCTGACTGAGAGAGTTCATTTGTTTTCTAAAATCTTTGACGCACCTGAAAACGACTGAAATGTGTCTTTTATTTTGGTGGAAGTGTTTCCTGACTCACATCATCACCACACCTGTCTGTTTTCTCTGCTGATGACAACAAATGAGCTCATCTGCCAGTAAAATAATCAAGATGCATTTATTTATAAGATGTTTTCAAACTTTAAAGGATTTTAACGTGAAGGCCTCAGAYGTTTGTTACAGAACATTACGATTCATGAAGCAGCATCATGAAAACCGAGGGGTTCTTATGGAGGCTGAAACCAAATCTGCAGCTTCTTTGGTTCTGGAGGTCCAACAGGACATGACGAACAAACGTGAGTCTACCTCACACACACACACGCACACATCATGCCACGCTCCATATGTCTTACCATAAATCCTGAATCACCACCATCCTCTGCTCTTTTGGATTTTCCGGGAAGAAAACGTAAAGCAGGAGGTTTTGTTCATGTTTGTGTGTTTTATTTTTTTGTCTCTCGACTTTCAGCACTCATTAAAGAAGAGTGACGACTTCCACAGATGCTCACACACACACACACACACACACACACTGCAGGTACAGCTAACTGAAACCACAAATCTGGCAAGTATGGGAGCAATTACCTGGAGGCCACAGAGTGCTGAGGTCGTCTGAGCGGACGCACACACACACGCACACACAGAAACAACACAAACACACCTCTGTCCCACACGTGGACAAATATTGACACTGACCTCACGCGGCTGGACGCGTCTCGTCTTCCAGCTCACTGCGACAGAAGAATAGCTTCGGTTTATTAAAACAAACTAATCAGAAACACGTCGAGTTAATCCAGATTAAAGTCCGGATTTCCTCCAAACAGCCAGGCGGTCCTCTAACCCTAAAATAATCTTTATCAGGCTTTCTGCTGGTCCTTTATAGTTTCTGTTTCGGCTTCTTCGCTCTGTAGARGCATAAGATAAAAATGTCACAGAGACTCTTAGAGGAACTTTTATTTCCTGGCAAAAACAGGCATTTTCACATCTCAGTCCAGATCATGGCAGCGAATTTTTTGCATTTTGTGCTTAAAAATCTGAGAGAAATTAACAAAATAAGAACAAAACACGTTCCAGGTCTAAAAAGAAAAACTGAAAGTCTTTCAGAAAGAAACCAATCCAGCAAAGAGCTCAGAGCTGCGTCATCCTCATCATTTTGCTCATGGAGGTAAATTAGTTCTGATCTAATAAGATTTGTTCTTCACAACACGCTCAATAAAGTTTTGAAGACTTGAAAAGCCGTTACAGAGATGTTTGTTTCCTGTAGACTTCGACCTCTGACCTGAACCTCAACTGATCTCTGTTTCAGTCGAGTCCGACCTGTTCGACACGTCTTTGTGTTGCCGTTTTCAGTTTTCAGTCCCTGGTTTGGTTCCTTACAGAAAGCAGGATGAGAACACAGAAACACGTGTTCTCAGTTAAAGACAAATGAGGAGGAACTTTCCTTTGAACCAGAACCGGGCCCTACATCTGGAAACTCTTCCAGCCTTTGACCTCACACCCCTCCCCAAACTTCCCTCTTCTGGGTTCCAGGCTTCGTGTCGAGGAGGTTTGTGCGAATGAAGACAGATCCGGGTCGAGCTCAGAGAGCCCAGTGAAGTTTTAAAAACAGGAAGTGGATCAGGTGATGGGCACGCTGAAGTCCAGGACCAGGAGATCCACAGGGTTCAGAACAAATCAAGTGCCAACTTTGTGCTGTTTTATCTAACGTTCAGCTCATTGAGATGACTGGAGTCACTTATTGGTAACTTTAAATTATTTACCTTTCAAACATTTTCCCCATAAAGATAGATTTAGATGTTTTCAGTGTGCTGAAATAGCATACACAACAATTATTAGCCATCTTTATTTTTTAATGTTTTTTAGCTATTGATGTCAAATTGTTTTTAGCTACTAGCCCATGTTACATTTAGCTTTGAGTCTACTCAGCTTTTATCTTAGTTTGCCTTATACTTAGTTTTCTTAAGACTTGTTTTGCAGACTTTTGCAATTTTTATTTAGCCTTTTGCTACTTTTACTGGCTTTTYGCTGATTTTAGCTACATTTTGTTATTTTGAACTAGCGTTTTGCGACTTTTTACTGGCTTTTTATTGCTTTTAGCAAAATGTTTGCTATTCTGAGCTTGCATTTAGTTACTTTAAGTGGCATTTTGTTTCTTTTATCTAGCCTTTTGCTATTTTGAGCTGGCATTTGACTACTTTTAACTGGCTTTTTGCTGCTTTTAGCTAAGTGTTTGCTATTCTGAGCTGACGTCTTAACTAGCCTTTTGTTATTTTCAGCTAGAATTTTGCTACTTTTAACTGACTTTTTGCTGCTTTTAGTTAAATGTTTGCTATTCTGAGCTAGCACTACTTTTAGCTAGCCTTTTGCTGTTTTCAACTAGCATTTTGCTACTTTTAAATKTAGCTTTTTACTTGTACGTAGTTGTATCTAAGATCTWACTCACACCTAAAGACATTTTAGTGTTTTTAATTAACCTAACATGTATGGTTTTGGTCTGTGGGAGAAAACAAATAAATGATGTAAGATCTAAATTTGGTGAAATTACATGTGGAATTCCACAAGGTTCTGTGCTTGGACCAAAGTTGTTTCTCTTATATGTAAATGATCTGGTAAGTGTGTCAGGGTTGTTTAAATGTGTCTTGTTTGCAGATGATACCACATTTTKTTGTKTGGGCAAAGATTTTGAACAGATGTTTAGGACGATTCAGACAGAATTTGTAAAAATACAAACTTTTAACAAATTATCACTAAATTTGGACAAAACAAATTATATGATATTCAGCAATAGAAAAAGAACGGTTGATGTTTTATTTAAAGT